ATGAGCTCAAACTATTTTATTATAAAAGACTGCATTGCAATATTGTTTTCTTTAAAGCTATTAAATCATTCAATTCCATAATGAACATTTAACAATTTCAACAGACATCAGCCTTTGTACAGAGCTACTGTGGTTCCAGGATATTCTTCTGTGATGAACCAGAAAGCCGAGAGTAGATGGGCTGTGTGTTATATTGTGCTGCTACACACAGAACGTCATTCGCGGTCACAGTCGTCCATAAACACAGAACATCACTGATTTAAATCAAACAAGCAGAGGTCACTAGTAAAGGTTCACCTCTACCTTTTACTTTCCCTATCTGTCCTGGAAGGACGCTGTTGTAGAAGTGCGCTCCCGATTCACAATGCTGGTATGATCAGCAAATTATACCCGGGGACATACGACAATTAGACTGCACTATTAATTCCACATCACATATTCTTCTGTTCTTGAGTTTATCATGCATAGCTTCATGCTCTCAGCTCAAAGCTGAGAAAGTTTCCAAGCACAACCCATGGACAGAACAGAGACTGTGCCATTTAAACAGAAAACACTGAAACACTGAAGTCCTGCTATTATAAATACTCAAGACGTTGTTCAGCCTCATTCATTCCCAAAAACCCAAATCAAAGCAGCATTAAATCGCGTGTTTAAGAAAGGAACGAGTCGTGTCTGTGATCACATTAAAGCCCGGGTGACTACTCGACACACTTCAAGCCTGACGCAGACTATTCTCAGCAGACAGTGCATGAACTAAGAGAGGGATGAGGAGCACAGTGTGTGAGAGAGAGAGAGAGAGATCAGTCCAGACGGCTTCACGGCTGGCCCTCCTTCTCCCCCGTCTCTCCTCCTGCCCTCTCCGACGCCATCTGACCAACACAAACACAGACGCTCTTATTATTATTATTATTATTATTACTACAGAGCTGCACAAATATAAAGAAGTAGATCAAGTGTGAAAGACAGTATTTCAGCTAACATTCAGACAATCTACATACCAAACCTGATCACTATTAAACATCTTTATTATTATTATTATGAATAATAATCATATTTTAAAATAACTAACGCTCTTCCACAGTCCACTGATTGAATAATAATAATCATATTTTAAAATAACTAACGCTCTTCCACAGTCCACTGATTGAATAATATTATTTTTATTATTAGATTTAATAATTATTTTATAATTAATGATTATTATTACATTTTAAATAATCCTCATCCAAGTCAATTTATTGAAATGTTATTGCTATTGTTATTATTAATAATTTAAAATAACTAATGCTCTTCCAAAACAGTCCACTGGTTGAAAAAAATGATGATAATATTAACAAACTACGATTATTATTACATTTAAAAAAATCCTCATCCAAAACAGCCAATTTATTAAAAAAATATTATTATTATTATTTTAAAATAACTAATTCTCTACCAAAACCGTCCACTGATTGAATAATATTTTTCTTATTATATTTAATAATTAATAATGATCATTATTATAATACAATTTTAAATAATGCTCTTCCAAGTCAATTTATTGAAATGTTATATTATTTAAAAATAACTAATGCTCTTCCAAAAGTCCACTGATTGAATAATAATATTTGTATTATTATATTTAATAATTAATAATGATTATTATTATAATAAAAATGTAAATAATGTTCTTCCAAGTCAATTTATTGAAATGTTATTATTTTTAATTTAAAATAACTAATGCTCTTCCAAAAGTCCACTGATTGAAAAAGATGATGATGATAATAACAACAACAACAATAATAATAACTACGATTATCATTATGAAACTTTAAATCTTTTAAATCCTCTTCCAAAACGGTCAATTTATTGAAAATGATTATTATTATTATTATAATAAATAACTGTAATGTGCTTGTCAATAAAAGGCTAGAGCGCGTGAAAGCCGGAGCGCACCTTCTTGTATGCCATCTCGAAGAGTTTGAGCGAGGCCTGCTGCAGGCTTGTGGCCGCTTGCTTGATGTTTTCTCCCGTCTCCGTGTCCTTCCTCGAGAGCAGCTCTCGCACTTTAGCCACCTCCTCCTTCAGTCTGTCACACTGCAGAGAGAGATCACAAGCGTTAGCGGCTCTAGAACAGTGTGCTTCAGCTCTGCAGACAGCGGTCGCACCTCATCCGCCGGCAGATGCTCCTTAAACTCCTCCATCTTTGACTCGCTGTCGTGCACGATGCCCTCGGCCATGTTGACCGCTTCCACACGATCCTGCGACCCAAAACCAATGCGTTTCGATTCGTTCAAACGGGTCTGAAGGTGCAGCACATCAGCCCTCGGGCTACACTAGAGACGCTACCTTGCGTCTCCGGTCCTCCTCTGCGTACGTCTCGGCGTTCTTGATCATGTTTTCTATGTCGTCTTTGCTGAGGCCGCCAGAAGACTGGATCACAACTGGAAGCACAAGCAGAAAATAATAACAATAATAATAATAATAATACGCCACATCAATGTTTTTCATAAACACAAATGCAACATTTTTGAAGAGCTGGGCGTATAGCTAAAAAAATGCATCAACGATACAATGTTTCACATCATTCGGTATCAATAATCATTGACATTTTTATAAAAACGAGCAATAAAAAAAAGAGTTTAAATTTAACCACTTTTTTTAATTCACCCACTTTATTAAGACGAACATCAAATCATTTTTCGCTTTAACAGTCAAACACGAAATGTAAAGAAATATCTCCTTTGTTTTATATGCAGATTAAATAAGTCTTAAAGAAAGCTTTGGCTCGTCTCCCGAGGCCACAGGAGGGCGCAATGAGCAAAAGAATGCAGCGCATTAAATCGTTTATTCAATGCTATGAAATAACACCCGTCTATAAACCACATGCATAACGTCTACATTAACATATGGATCAATATCACCAGAGAGTGCCTTTCAACCCTCACGATACTCACATTTAGGTCTTAGTTCCGCATTCGCTTTATCTCATGACACTCAAGTACTCTAGAAACACATTAGCTGAGCTCCCATGCATTTTTTATATTTATGGGCCATTATTCGAAGCATAAACCATAAGATATGTCCACCCTGTCATGGACATATATATTACTGTTAAATACTGTATATCTGAAAGGTATTATGTCCCGATCCTAAACAGGGTTATTTGTTTGCGTTCAAATTATAAATACATAAAAGATTTTATGTAAACCATGTGTTTTTAAAGAAACTCTAACCTTTTTTCTGACCTGGAGAACACTGTGATATTTGGATGCAGTTTTTTGTTATTGCCCCCACACCAAGCTAGTGAACACACTGGATTATATAGATATGATTGAATTATTATTTAAAATATTATTGTAAAATATTAAGATGACAGGGTGGACAACCAAACTCTCAAACTTTTTTTTATTAAATAAAAATAATGTTTTTATTACCAAATGATCAATGCACTCAAAATAAGTAATCTCTTTCTATTAATAGGAGAACAACATTTTTACATTTTATGATTTGACTATATTCTACTCTCATTCAAATGTAATGAGCAGTGCATGGGACATAGCCAATAATACGCCTCCTCTTGCACAAAACTAAAAACTAAATCTAGAAAACGCATCTAAAGTGCCAAGTAATGCTTTTGTTATGAATATAAAAACTTAGCCTAATATAACACACCCTTTCATAGTCTTTTTTACGTTAAGTTATCATGGCAAAGAGTTATTTATGTACAGGGCACCAAAACACACCCTACAGTGATATTGATTCATATATAAAACCAAATGTAATGTTGTAAAGTGCATAAACAATTATGAACAAAACAGCATCGTGTATTTATGCATAGCTTAATTCAAAGAGCCGAAGCACCGATCACACAGACTGCATTTAAAAACATACGAGACGCAGCGAAACGGAATAAATCTCCACAAATTTGCGACGTTTTCTACAAGTTTAAACTGTTTTAAATTCGCATGGCTTTCTATACATCTCTCGTGTGAATGAATATGGGTTCTGTGTGAATTAGGGCTGCACGATTATGACAAAAATCATAATCGCTGATTATTCCCTTGAAATTGTAATTGCGATTATTAATTACGATTATCACAATTTACATTGAATGATGTTTATACCATTGTTTGATGCAACTGCGTGCCGTATTTTTATATGAAAATAAACAAGCTGAAAACACTAACTGAAAAACTTTGTGCTTTTCTATATTTATATTTCTATGCATATTGCCTTAAATGTCAAATATACATCGGATTGGTTTCTTCTTTAAATTATAAAAAAAGTAAAAATATGAATGGTATTATAATGTTATACTAAAACAATGGAAAAACCCTTAAGATGTAGAAAGAAAAAAACATATCTTAAGCGTGCAGAATAACATAAGTGGACTTTAAACGATTAAACTGCCGCTTTGAACGATTACGTAATT